CTCGACCCTAACTACTGAAATGAGAACTTATCGTCACTCATAAAAACATTTAACCAACTTGTGGTTTCATAGTTACCTGAACTACATTTGCTCTAATTTCTCATACCATATAAGGATATGTAGGCACAAGACGACGATGTCTTGGCGAGAAACCTTCCTCCATCACCCGTAGTTTTTCGAACTACGTTGACTCTAACTTTCCCATTGCACGAGGGAATACGTAGGTATAAGGCTGCAATGTCCTATCGAGTCTCTTTATTTTTCTTCATTCTCGTTTCCGTTTAGCAGTAGCTTATAGATAAACACACCCTTTAATTAGTCAACAAGCGTGGATCCCGTTGAGTATAAAGGACGTGAGGGGTACTCATACCTTCCCCTTGCGTAACCGACTCCCGAACCCAAGATTTGGTTGTGATGACCTTGTTTTTTTTTTCACTCTTCAGGTTTTCTTTGATTGTTTCCTTTCCCTCTCTTTGGGATAAATAACGTTCGGTGGCGACTATTCTGTTTTTTCGCCGGGTGTTTTTCGCAGTTGCGACACTTATGAATGGTTAATTGTTAAGATAAAATAGATAGCAACTTTAATTTGCAATTAATCTTTTTTTAAATGTCAAAACCTTAGTCCAATGCCAAGTGTTTCTTTGTCTAAAAAATCATACCAAACCATTTTAAAAAAGGATCAAATAATTATCGATTCATCGTCGAGTCATTTTCACCCTTGTAAGTCGATTGCTTGTTAGCATCGTCGTCAATTTAATGTATACACTTGCACATTTTCTTTGTGGTTTCATTCACTAGGAGCAGCCTTAGGGACTAGGATCGACCAAACCTTTTAGCAGGCCCTTGATCCAATGTCAAATGCCTTTTTCCATTGACCTTGTTAGAGTTATCTCCCCTCTTCAACCTAGCTTTAGGTTAGGGTTTGTTAACCCTATGTAAGTGCTATTGTTATAAGTACTTACCTCCCCTCCTTGACCTTGTTAGAGTCGATTGATCTTGCAACTTAGAGTTAGGTATAGAGTTTGTAAACTCTATGTGAGTATCATTATTATGAGTATTCACTTCCCCTTTGACCTTGTTAGAGTCAATTCTTAGTTAATCTTTCAACTTAGACTTAGTAGAGTTTGTGAACTCTATGTAAGTGCCATGGCTATAGATACTTGCTTCTCCTTGTAATATTGTTCATAGTCAAGTGTTCTTCAACCGTAGTTGTTTGAACTACGGACGCTCTGATTTCTCATTTGTCAATGACAATGCATAGGCATAAGGGCCCCAATCCTTGGCGAGCAACCGTTTTTTCTTTTCCCCTATTCTCGTATGAGGATATGTAGGCACGAGATTGCAATGATCTTGGTGAGCACCCTAGGAAAACAAACCACCTAGTCCATATCCTCTTTCTTTCCTAAATAACTTGAGAAGCCTATCACTTAGAAGCAAACATTAACACACACACCTAACCTAATGGTTCCTGTTGAGTATAACAGATGTGAGGGGGTGCTAATATCTTCCCCTCGCCTAATCGACTCTGTTAGTCCGTCCCGCGGGCGTGCAACTATGCTTCGTGAAAGATCATGCTTTTTTCGAGGCACAACACAAATGAATTCAAACAAATTACAAACAAGTGTTAAAGCAAATAATGCACATACACATAAATTGACAAATCATAAAAACAAAAACGGTATTGATGACGAATGCAATTTCAGAGAAGAATCCATCTTCGAGGTGGGAACATTTTGAATCATTCAATCTTTGTCTAAAACAATAAATCCACTCATTCCAAATGGTAAAACACAAATGCATAATGGAGTTATTGACATAATTTCACAAGATTCTTGATGATATTGGGAATACTTAAGTGAAGATTAAAGATGTGGATAAGACTCTACTCTTGTTGAGCTCATTACCCAGATCTTTTGAGCACTTTAATGATGTCCTTCTTTATTGTAAAGAAAGTAATATTACATCCAGAAGGCTGCGAGACCCAAAAGATTTTCAAAGGTGAAAGCTTTGAAGATTAATGATAGTGGTGAAGACTTAAGTGTACCAATAGGAGGAAATGAGCATAGAGAGATATTCAAATAAAAAAATTTGACAAGCCAAAAGTAAAATGCTTTACTTGTCACAAACCTGGTCATGTCATTTGGGATTTTCTTGAGTGGATGAGGCAATGATTATGCTCATATTGCACTTACCTAAGATGCAAATAGTTATCTGAGTGTTGGTATACTAGTTGTATCGAGTTTGGAGACTGAAGATTGTTGAGTCATTGACTTACATTGCTCTTATCACATGTGTCCAAAAAAAATAATACTTTGAAATTTTGAAGTTAGAGCAAGGTGGAGTAGTCCTCCTTTGTGACGATAAGGCTTGCAAGATTTATGGTATTAGTATGGTCAGACTTAAAATGTTTGATAATCGTGAGTTTCTTCTTCATAACGTAAGGTATGTTCCAGAACGTTAGAGAAATTTGTTATCAATCAACATGTTTGAGGATCTCGGATATTGCACTAGAGTTGAAAACAAATGTTGAAGATTTTGCATGGTGAAGTGATCATAACTAAAGGAATTGATGTCAAGGTATTGTGGTTTATATATTTTAGAAGTTTCTAATGTTGTTGTTCATTCATCATCAGTTAGTGAAGACTTTCATGACAAAAAAAACTTTGAAGACTTTCATTTATCCATAAACTTTTTTTTTAATTCTTGTTATGGCCAATTGACATATGTATAATTTGACCAAAGATTCTATTATTTTAATTAGCTAGTGGTCTATCTTTTTTGTTGCTAAAATAATTTATCATTAGACATATGTTGAATGAAATATTTAAATTTTTTAAAATATTATTTTTAAAGTTTAACCAATTAAAAAAAGAAGAGAATAGAATTGCAAAGAAAAAAATTAGAGAAAAATGATCAAAATAAAGATCAATGAACGACATAAGCAAAGTGTAGTCTATATGTTATAAAAAGTAGACAAACTTGAGAGAAAAAAACCAAACAATTGAAACTAAGACAAAATCAAACAATTGAAAAACTTGGAGGGCTAAAATTTTATTTAAACCTTTTATTTTAGTTTGGCTAACCAGTTTAATTATTAAACAATTTGCAAAATACTAATTGATAAATAAAAGAAATCATTCAGTAATTTTACAGCGATGCGGCACAGTTCTATATTTCAATTCAATTTTTATTTTTTTTGAATTTTTGAATAATCCTACTAAAATACACCGACACTTAGGGATAATATTTGTACCGGGATTTTGATCCTCTCCTTTTTTATATATCATGTCATCTCTCATGTTTTTAATTTAACGGTTCAGAATTTATAATAAATAATTAAATAAAAAAAAGTCATTTAATAAGAGAGAGAAATAGATAAATAATTTGTTTTTATTATTTTTGAAATTTCTTTATTATAAATTCTAAACCGTTAGATTAGAAACATAAGAGATGACATGATATATAAAAAAGGAGAGGATCCAAATCCTTTGTACCGGATAACATTTGTACTCATGCTAAGTTAGTATCTACAAAATTTGTCTATAATAGGAAGGATAAAAAATTTGGAAAAAAATGTACGGACATAGACACAAATAATTATTCACTAAAATAAACGGGTATGAGTATTTTATAACTCAACTCGCCTCATATTTGCACGATATAAATTAATATATTTTTATTTTTATTATTATATACATATATTAATATAACAATTTTATTAAATAAATCATTATTAAATTTCTAAACATTTTAATATAAATGTTTGTTTATTTTTTAACTCAACAATAATGTTATCAATTATTTTTAAGTGTTAGTTAAAAATTTAAAATGACATAATAAATGATATTAAATCGAACATTTTTATTAGAAATGTGGATAAACAAATATGAATATAGATACTTTAGTACTCATAGGATATGAATACGGGTAAAAACGTTAATGTCCACTCAAATATGAATTCAGGTACAAAAAATTTTTTGAACTACAAAATTAAAAACAGATAACACCCTACTCAAACTCTATCCATTATAATCCCTAGTCATACTCTTAATTCTAACCTTTTTCATTAGAATAATAAACACCACATTTTTATCTAAGTTTTTTCAAAAAAAAAAAAAATTAAACGTAAGAATAATGTCTTGAAAATTGTGAATTCAATTTTTCAAAAACAAAAATTGAAATTCTAACATAAAATTTATATTTTTTAAATACATTATATGTATTTATTGAAATGATATATATTTTAATTTTCAACTTAAATATTTTATAAAATTATATATATATATATATATATATATATATATATATATATATATATATATATATATATATATATATATATATATATATATATATATATATATATATATATATATATATATATATATATATATATATATATATATATATATATATATATATATATATATATATATATATATATATATATATATATATATATATATATATATATATATATATATATATATATATATATATATATATATATATATATATATATATATATATATATATATATATATATATATATATATATATATATATATATATATATATATATTCTTTTTGTGTATACTATTTCTTGGTTCTTATCCAAACACTTCATTTTTATCCTAATATTCCTTAGTTCTTAAGAGTAACTAATTAGTAACTCTCTAATTAACTTAAACTCTAGAAAAGAGAGAGAGGTTATTTGACTGGCAATCAATTTGTTTGTCTGTATCTGCGCGCGGAAAAACCGTTTTATTTGAAAATGGTTGTTGCACCTATTCTATTACTACTGACTGCCTTAAGATCTATTTGAATCTCATACATAGCTCCTCAACATTACTCACACCAGCTTTTCACTATGATGCACCATGCCAATGGTTCGTCGTAACATTTACGCTATTTTCCAACTTCTTCTTATTCTTCCTGCTTTTTATTTTTTGCATTTTTTGCCTGAGTAAAATTTTCTTTGATTATTTTTTTTAGGTAAGATGAACTCCATGGATTCATCGCAAACTGATGAGCTGGTACATGTACTAACAACAGGGATGGAAATGGAAGGCTTTGTAGAAAAGAATCCAAACTCGTTTCAGACATATGATTGTAGTCTTATTTCAAGGTTTTTCAACGACGAACCAGATCCGAAATCAATCGAAGAATATCTACGAGATTCTTCTACTGTTGACAACTTTGGTTCCGGGTTGGATCAATCTGAATCCAACAATGGAACTCGTTCTACAGGTACTGAGTTAAGTGGTGAGTCTTCCAAAGACATTGTTGCGGTGGATCCTGATAGTTCTGAATATACTACTGCTAAAAAAACTTCAAAATACAAAGGGGTTTCAAGGTATTCATTAGATATACTAATATTTTTATTATTAAAAAGTTTCAAATTATTAATTATATTGGTTTGAATGCGTTAGTGTCAGTGTTGTGTCTAGTGTCCCTTCTTCATAAATCATATGGTCGCAATATATAAGGTGTATGTTGTTATGTAGGCACAGATGGACGGGTAAATTTGAAGCACATCTATGGGATAACAACGGTAAACAAGAGGGTCGTGCCAGGAAAGGCCGTCAAGGTTCTTTTCTCTATCTCCCTTTGTTTACTGATTATTTTGATTTGAACTTATGGTTGGGAAAATGATACATTAGGGATACTGTAATGCATGCATATAGGGAAGTGATTTTTAATCATAAACTGAATTTTTTGCTTTTTCGTTGACATGGAATGGTTCGGTGCAATTCTTGGATTCTGTCACATGGCTTTTGACTATTCCTACAGTGTATTTGGGTGAGAAACGTTTCTACTAAATTCTATCCTCAAGTTTGATAAGGTTAATCATTACATGCTGAATTTGTTGTTATGGTTATTGTTAGGTGGGTTTGACGATGAAGAAAATGCAGGAAGGGCTTATGATTTGGCAGCATTGAAGTACTGGGGACCAACAGCTACCACAAACTTTCCTGTAACAATACTTTTATTTTTCATTTTGAATCTATTTTCCAATATAATTATGCTAACGTTCCTGTATTAATTATGCTAACGTTCCTGTATTTGAGCTTTCATCACTTAGCATATTTGTATTCTGAGATAAAACCTTCGTGAGTATGGGTCATGTTGTCATGCTTGTTATTCTCTAATATGTCAGGTTTCTGATTATGCTAAGGAATTGGAGGAGATGAAACATGAAGGAAAGCGAGAATTTATTACTAAACTGCGAAGGTTTGTATGAGCTAGCCTACTAAAATATTCAGCACTATATTTCAGTTCCTGGCCTAAAATTGTACTTGCTTTCTGCTTGCAGGAAAAGCAATGGTTTTGCTAGGGGAACTTCCAAATATAGGGGAGTCACAAGGTTAGAAATTTCAAACAACATGCTATAATATGATTTGATACAAACTACCAAGTGATTATCATCTCTACTGTTTTTTATTTTGGACCGTTCAGGCACCACTACCATGGTAAGTGGCAGGCAAGAATCGGACGAGTTTCCGGAAACAAAGATCTATACTTGGGAACATTCGGTATACTTTGACCTTCTCATATTAATAATTTGCTATTTTATACAATATGGTTTGATTTTTTCATAATTCTTGATTCTTGCATGATTACAGAAGCCGAAGAGGAAGCCGCAGAGGCTTACGATATTGCAGCTCTAAAATATAGAGGTGCAAATGCTGTAACAAATTTTGAGGCGAGTCGATATGATATGGAAGCTATATTGAAGAATCCTCTTCCAATTGCTCGAGCAACAAAACGCTTAAGACGTTCTCGAGAATCAAAAAAGAATGCTCCTGTGATTAGTAATGATCAACCTCAATGCACAAATCTGAATAGCAGCAACTTTCAGTCAATTGCTTCATTACCCTATGATCCTTTCCACCATTTTCATCCTCCCACCAATACAGAAATTGGCACAGTACAGTCTGCTGAAACTGCAACCAATGCAGGCACAATACTCACAGGCAATGCCACCAGATTCTGAGTTATTTCTTTGCTAATTTGACTATTCTGATAAACCTTTTTTCCAGAAACATGCTGAGGAATATTGAGCTGCACATTTAGGTTTGGATAAATATTGCTTGTTAGTATCATATGATAAAAACCTTTGTTTACAACTTAGCTTTTGAGATTTTCATGCCAATGAGACTTGAAATGTGCATGAAGTGAAGTGTTTGTTGAATGCATATTGCAGTTATAGTCGCAGATGTGGTTGTGGTTGCAGGTATTGTTATTGCGGTTATTATGGTTTTTGCGATGCGTATTGAGGTTATTGCGCTGTAGGTTTTAATTGGAATTGCTGAATTATATCGTTAAAAAATACTTGATATTAAAACTTAGCCTTAAATAGGAACTAGATTGAGATTTGGAGTTCTTAAATTTTGAGTTTTGATAAAAATATTTTAAAAAACACAATCAATATCATTTGATGCGATTTTTAATAGAAGTCGAACGCATGTTTTAATTTACACCGTAATTATAGTTTGATGTGATTGCGGAGGCTACAACAGCATTGACAATATTATGGTTTTAATTGTTAGAGCAGGTTAAAACTGTTGGGAATGTAGCAAGTGTGAGTAGTATGGGTAATAGTCCTATATTGGTTAAAAATGTGGAAATTTGAGTATTTTTAAGTGAGAGAACCCACCCACCTATCACCTTAAAATTTTGAGTAAATATATAGTGTGTCTCTCATAAAGGTGTTGCTCTAGAAAAAAAAAAGTCTCACGGTGTTTAATGCTCCCTAGTGAAAATTTCTGTTTAATGCTCCCTAGTGAAAATTTCCCTCAACACATAATATCCTGAGTCTTTGGTTCGAAAAAAGCATTGTGGAATCACACTTGAGGGAGAGTGTTGAGAATATAGCAAGTGTGAGTAATATAGATAATAGTCTTATATTAGTTGTAAATATGGAGACTTAAGCATTTATAAGTAAGAGAACTCACCCACCTATCATCTTAACATTTTGGATGAATATGTGGTGTATATTTCACAAAGATATTACTCTAAAAAGGAAGTCCCAAAATATTCAATACTCTTCCGTAAAAAACTTCCCCAACAAAATCTGTAATTGTTAGTCACAAATTTGTAAAAATTAAAAAGTGTTGAAATTCGTGTAACCCATTTTTGTATTTCATCGTGTCTAAGCAAACTCTCTCTTTTTGTAGATTATTCCACATAAAATTGTTTACTTTTTGTCTTCTTTCTATGAACTCGCATGAGTCTGTATTTACAACTTCACTCACCACCTTATCTAGTTCAGTTGGCTACCTTACATTCTCCTTAATCTTCAAATATATCCATCCATACACCTATATGTTCCACCATCTTTGCCTTTCCTTTAATCTCTTCATTTTTCTTTTAATACATACGTCTTTTTCACTTTTATGTCGAAAATATTCCTTTCCCTCTCCACAAACTGAACAAAGTCCTCATGTTCAAACTATCCCTCAATCACCCTAAAAGGTTTATGCCCATAGTTCAGATCCTAACTTTTTAACCAAATTGGGTTGTGATCAGAGATATTTCTCCTTCATGTTTCTTGACCTACTATTAACCACTCCACCAAATTTTAATACTGTAAAAACCTATCTAATCTACTCATTCCACTCCCCTACATGTTAGTCAAAGTATATTTATTACACTTATACCAATTCTAGTTTTTCAATGAAATCATTAATATCCTTCATTACATGAATTCTCCCATTACATCCCCTACCTTTTCTTTCATTAGAGGTTCTTATCAAATTAAAATCCCCCATAAACACTACAAACCCTCTCAAAAACTATGTTTCAAATCTAACATTTTTGACCATAGATTTCTTTTACCAACTAACCTACATGGTGAGTAAATGTTCACGAAGAAGTATACCTTATTTCTCCATTTCGAGCAGATTCTCACAAAACCTTATCCATATGACAAGAAAGCTTCATGATATTTATCATTTACTTTTATAGATGTCCACTCCATACCATTTTTTCCTCATAAAACCTGGATCCAATCGTCTATCATCTTGGTGATTTTTTGTTTCTTGAAAGAAGAAGACATCATGTTTCCCCTTCCATATCATTGGTTAAATTTTTTCCCTCTCAATTGACTTCATGCACCCTCTTACATTGTAAGATAGAATTATCATTGAATCCTTATTAATGATAGCGTCTCTCATCTTATATTTCTTTCTTTGTCTCTAATTTCCACCGCTATGATGACTTCTTCATAGATTTATTCTCATTCGAGTCCTTGAACTCCACTCATACTTCTTTCCTTCCTTCCAATGCCACCTTATTTGAATAATTCCTGCCCATTGAATGATAGCTTTCTGTATTAAACCATTGGCTATTCTCTTCTCTGAAATCTGACACGCCGTCTTTTTGTCGGTTTGTCCATTCTTCACCATAGTTTTTGTCGAAATCTTCATCTTCTTCCAAAAAATCCGTTTCCCTTTCTCTCATTGAAGGAAAGACAATTTTGAGTGGCCCTTGCAAATCCTCCACTAGTTTTACGTCAAAAACCTTTTGATTTATCTCCACATTGAACACTTGATTTAGAGCAATGTTGAATTTTGTTTTAATAGTATTCTTTCTACATCCATTTTTGTTTGGTTCCTTGACTCATTGTGCAAGCAAATGTATGTTCCCATCGGAGCTGTTATGAACTCAAAAAATTTAGGATCTTATGCATAGCACGGAATACCATAACATCTCATCCAAGTTACTCTCTTATTGTCCACTTCTAGTCTCCATTGTGTGGTATCTACAAAGCATTGGCTCAACCAGTCCTTTCCCTCTTTGATTAATGTTTCCATCCCACCCTCCTCCACTTCCTCCATTAGGCACAAGTGTTGCCCTAGTCGTGTAATTTTGATCACAAAATACCCTTCTGAATGAAATATATTATTCACCCTTTCCTTGTGATGTAGATTGTGTTCATTCTACCTCAACGTCTCTTTTCCTCAAAAGTTGTTCCTCTCTGATATCTTGGTGCGTTCATAATAACATTTGATGTCATCAATAATATTTTTCCATGAGAATTTTTTAAACCATATATAATGTCAATGTTTGACTGGTATGGACCTTTGTTAACATGTTAAACAAATACTTGATGATATTACCGTTATTGTAATACTAAGTATTCAGATGCCTTTGAAGCCTCGTAAACACAAGTATTATAAGGCATAATGTTTCTACTATCCAAATTGATTCCATTTTTATGAAAAAATATTCACAAGTCGTGCTGTTTGAAACATGGATAACCTTTATCATTTATTGAAGTAATATATTTATTTTTGTTGAAAAATATTTCGAACATTTATTTTCTTTAAAGTTAGAAACCCTACATGGTTGATGTATCATGTATCTTAAAACAACAAAATATAACTTTGGATATAAATCTAGACAAGATATTTTAGCATGAATTACATCGTTAATATATTTTACAATAACTAATTTGTTATGCCCATCTAACCATAATAACATGTATGCATTAGAAAGATATATTTTTTGAAATACGAGGCTATACATTTCTATGATTAGAAAAACATGAGAACAATAAATATATGTCATAAAAAGTATTGTAGGAATATATAAAGAAATAGAAATGAAAACTATATTTAATACTTTCTTACAATGACCTTTATTAAGATTTGTTTCATTTTGAAATCATACACCATATCCTCTAATTTATTTTTTCAAACTCCACAAACGATATTAGGCTTATTTAATTTAATAAATCCATTTTGAGATTTAAATTGAAATTATATTCCATTGCCGACAAGATGCCACACACAAATATTGAAACAACGCGTACCACAATAAGTATGTGTGACAGGAAGGGTAAATGCATAAGGTATATAACACAAATTATCAATCCAAATTTGTGCAAATTCACCTAAATCTAAAGGGCATTAGTCCAATGAAAGGGAATTCACTCTTAATAGTCAAAATATTTAATGGATATTTACTTATATTTTGGTTATAGGTAACTTAGTCTATTTATGTCTTATTATATATTCTCTTTGTAACCCTTATTTGCATAAATTATATTATTCATATTATTAAAATCCTAGTCTCTTTCCTACTTAGTCATCTCTATTGCAAACATGGTATCTAGTGTTTGGTTTGATCTTCCTTGAACTAATTGTTGCTACCATTATTGAGTTTACTAAAAGTTGGTAATGTGTTTGTTTTGATTTTATAATGATAACTTATTGAAGTAAAAATCCTTATGTTGAATCGCTAAATTGTTCTCGGGTTGTTTTTCACTTTTGTTTGCATGATTGAGTTATGGATGACTTCGGTTGAATCTTCCTATTGGTTTCTTTTCTTGCCATTTGTTTTGCCTCTTCTAATAGGTTCTTTTGTTTCGTTAACTCTCTCTCTCTCTCTCTCTCTCTCTCTCTCTCTCTCTCTCTCTCTCTCTCTCTCTCTCTCTCTCTCTCTCTCTATATATATATATATATATATATATATATATATATATATATATATATATATATATATATATATATATATATATATATATATATATATATATATATATATATATATATATATATATATATATATATATATATATATATATATATATATATATATATATATATATATATATATATATATATATATATATATATATATATATATATATATATATATATATATATATATATATATATATATATATATATATATATATGTTTGGTTGTTTCTCTTTATCTCTCTTATTAGTTCTTCTAGTTCTTCTATTTGGTTAATCATCTCCCTATTGGTTATTCTATTTTGTTGTTTCTCTCTCCATTGATTATTTTCCTTCTTATGGGTTCTTGTGTTGGTTGCTTCTCTTTCTCTCTCTTATTGATTCTTCTATTTAGTTATTCCTCCCCAATTGGCTCTTCTATTTGGTTTGGTTTGGATTGAGATGATTCAATTTGATTTAATTTAAGTTAGTTCATTTCAGTATGATTAGCTTAAATTGATTTGGTTCAA